TAATTTCGTAATAAACTTACATTTCTCTCTGTGACTTTGCCAAGTTCAATCAACCAGAACTCTTTTGATTCAAATCATTCTAACGCAACACATTTTTAATTAATTGTATTCTTGTGTTATTTATTCTGAACATGCATACTTGCTCTAATATTGATTTCTGAACTTTTTTCTCTCAAGAGAACTTTCTTCGAACAATCAATTACAAATCATTCTATAGTTAAAGGGGAACAACTTCTTTCGCTTAATCTATACATTGAAAACAATTTTATTGAATGTTTGTTCCTGTATGTTATTTCAATATATATTTGTTGATTAACAATTTGGAGTTATTGTTGTTTACTCGAATCCTGTTCATTGGGAATATCGTTAATATAAATAGTATTGGTCTATCTACAATCGAACACTTTTACAATTGGTAACACCGACGTTCCAAAAATAAGTCTTTCAACTAACATACCTTTACAATATGCAATATAGGTGAACAATTCAAATAAAAAAAAAATGAAAATATATTACATATGTCATAATAGAATCATTCCATCTTAAATAAATCAACAATATTTTTCCGCAATTTTTAACACCATCTTGAGTTTTTTCTTATTAAAAAGTTGAGGAATTTTTTAACACATTCAACATTATGGTTACAAAATAAGGAATTTTATATAGTGTTTTTCGAGATTTAGCATGAGCAAATAAATTCACGGATTTAAACAAAATGACCTCAGAATAATGTCAAAATCCACGAAAATGTTTCATCCTTTTAGTTGTGCTTGGTTTAATTTGTAACGTAATAAATAAAGGTAGAAAAGATCGGTAGGAGGTTCCGAAGTGGGGTAGGACACACTGGCTTTGAACCAATCCATGAGGCGAAACGCTGAAGTGGTTTTCAAAACACTTGCGGACTGAATAGGAAGTATTTTCACTTAACATCTCTTTTAGAAAAGAATGTGTAGGAAATTCCGTCATTCACATATTTTTTATATACTAACAATTATATGTCCTAATTCCAAACAAAAATAACGAAAACGTGGGTATGTCTATCAAATAAATCATTTGTATTTACAAACATATATGCATGAATTCAAAAAAGTATTTAAAATAGCCCTTCGTTGAGTATTTGGGTAGTTGTTACACTGAAAAACAGTAGCTTAGAAAATACATTAAAATTTTTGTTCCACTGTAAAAAAAAAATTAAAAAAAGAGGAAATTCACTGACCGTCTTTATTGTTGGAGATGATTCGTTTGAAGTCGCCGACTGGCCGGTTGTCCAATGCTGTTGTTAGAGATTGTTTGAAGTCGCTAACATATGTTTCTTTCAGCACGGTGGGGAAAGAAAAAAGCCACTTGTGTGCTGCATGGCCTGGAGACAGCCGCATCTCACTGAAAGTCGAAATCTATAGGATTTTATAAGTAAGAACATTTCCAAAAAGTAGGCTCGTTTTAGTTTTCTCTTAGTGGCCAAACATTTCACATGGTAATGTTAATTTCTAACAAATAAACACTTTGATGTAATCAGTGTATGTTCTATTGTTGAATCTATCTGGCATGATTGTAAATATTGCCTGTTATTGGGTAGAAAATAAAGTTTGTGGGTATGTAATTCTATTGGAAATAGGATTTATTTTTTTACAAATGCTCAATAATTCATTTACAGGGAATATCTTGTAAAATCTGTCAGAATCAGCAGAAGGCCGACGCTTAACAGTTAACAGAGAGAATACAAGTTATGAACCAATAAACAGGGATAAAGAACTTAAAACTGACAGACTCCCTGCTGCGTCGTGAGAGCTGACAGGTGGGGAATCTTCTAAAAAATATCGTATACCTTGTGGGGTTCAGCGTACCCGGATTAAAGGAGAATTTAATACGGGATACCCTGCCCACAAAATACAACGCAAATTTCAAGAAGAAACAACACGATAAGGAACGTTTATAAAAAATAGAACATTGTATATTTATTATCTTGTGAATAGGGTAAAAAAGATTACTATTTTAGTTCGTTTAAGCAAAAATGTGATTTTGATAAAAATGTCTGTGTTCGTTGTCTTTTAACAGAGTAGTAGAATAATGTCTGTTTCTTTTGTTTTTGTATAGTTGTAAAAATGAAAAAGGGGCGAGCAATTTAAGTTAAAAAAAGAGTGTGTGAATGAGGAATAAAGATGAAAGGAAAATGTACTTATGAATTGTTTTGAAGTCAGTTGTAAATTTGTTGTTGTTGTTGTTGTTCCTTTCTACTCCACTTTTTGGGTTGAGTCAGTGATGGAATTTACTGTCAATCTTCTGTGATCTTTTGCGCCCTTCTCTGACTGACTGACTGGCGACTGACTTGAAAACTACGTATTTATTGTTGACTTTTTTTCACACTGGCTCGTTATCTTTTTTTTTTTTTTTGGTTTAGCAAATCGCCTCCTTTCCTTGGTCAGAAAATTAATTTCACACCTTATTGTGAAATCTGTTTTTGGTCGTTCTGATCCGATTTTGCGGGTGTGCAAATCTACTTTGTGTTTTTTTAGTCATTTGTTGGAATATAGGATTTGGATCCTATAACCTGTCAAAAGAAATTGTTGTGGATGAATTAAACCCAAAAATAAGAAAGGGACAAGATAGTAAAATGTTTTTTTAAGTATGGATTTGGATCGGAAAAACACCCCAGAAGCTTAATAAGAGTTGCTTGAAAAAAGAGAAGAAACATCTTAATTTTCGCCATCCTCCAAGGCCCGCATTAGGCATTACTATATCTATAATATACTACAGGGTACGATAGGTAAATTGCCGCCATTTTATTTTTTTTAATTTCGTGCATGCGCGTTGTTTGTTTTTTATTTTATCGAACGCATAGTATAGTAAGGTCAGTTGGGCACCGCATGTAAGACAAATGGCACTATGACGAAATTCACTCCTTCAGTAATTTGGAAATGGCATGCTGTACTGCTTGACATTCGCACCGGAAGCTCCAACACGAACATTTCAGAGTGTTTGGGTGTCAATCAGTGAAGAGGATTCGAAAAGAGTTGAATGGGTCTAATGTTGATTACGAAGGTGTTTGGAGTAATCAGTAGTGATGATTATGTTATGCCTCTATTCATCTTCCCACTAGGACTCAACACAGAGGCCTACATAAAGTTCTTTGAAGAGGTAGTTCTACCCTGGGTTAAGAAGGTGGCTGCTGGAAGAACCTGTGTCTGGCAACAGGACTCTGCAACATGTCACACCAGCAGGAGAACTCAGTCATGGCTGTCAGACAATTTCTGCAACCACATCACCACTTACATCTGGCCAACTAACTCCTACAGACTGCAACCCCATTGATTATTATGTAAGACCAAAGAAGAACTGAAGGTAAGGATTATGGCAGCATTCACCAACTTAAACAAGGAAACTGTCCAGAAGAGTTGCAGGAGATTCCGAAGTCGTCTGGAGACGATGGTTGAAGTCAATGGCGATTTTATTGAATAAATTTACTCTTTAGTATTTCAAGATATTTTGTGTAATTTTGGTAAATATATCTGTGACACGATATGACCGTAAGGCCTTTACAACGTTAGTAAATTCGTCATGTGAAAAGGGAGATAATAACTTTCTGCAGCCTAACAAGCTTGATAACTTGGAAACGCTCAACGCAGATATCAAAAGCAGAGATAAACAACTTGGCCATCAGCGACCACTTGTGAAACGTAAAAACCTACCCAGGCACCGACTTTTAGTATGGTCACTTCCCATTCATATGTAATCTAAGCGTAAAATTGGAAAAAATTAAAGAAGCGATCAATTTGAAAAAATATATGTGATACAGTGGGACACAGACATGATTAGAATACCTAAGAAATCAAATGGTTTTCTAAGTGATTTTATCTGTGATCGAAGGTTCTGGTGTTTTATTATCAATAGGAAATTATAGCTATGGGATCTTTATCATGTTATAGACAAGTGTATGGTTGCAAGAAGGAAATACGACAACAGCAGAAATAGATTTACGTGATTTATTTCAATAGGAACGTGTCGGTTTGGGACAGCTATCTTGTGGTATAGTTCATAAGCCGGCTTCCGGTCTGGGTTGATCTCTCATAGTAGTTCACACTGATTGGCGTGGCGCTCCTCCTGCTGACTGCTGCTGACTGGCCGTGACAGGTCTCTTCCCTGGTCTCCTGTTGACTGCTGCTGACTGGCCGTGACAGGTCTCTTCTCTGGTCTCCTGTTGACTGCTGCTGACTGGCCGTGACAGGTCTCTTCCCTGGTCTCCTGTTGACTGCTGCTAACTGACCGTGACAGGTCTCTTCCTGGCCTCCTGTTGACTGCTGTTGTACTTCCCCGTGTGACCCCTTTTATGGCGTTTTTATGGCTTAACAGGCTCGAAAAACGACGCGTGTATAATTTCGAGGAAACATTTTTATTGGTCGAAAAACAGAAACACTTTAAGATATTATTTTATTTTTCGACCGGAACTCGTGCGTCGGGCTTATGCGTAGACGACGATAATGGTCATTTTGTGACGGGGCCTTGTCCCGTTCACATCCGGCTCTCGCTCTTAAGTATGTCAGTTTATTTGCCTGCAAATCAGCCGAGATATGTCTTATTTTATTTTATAACAATCACTTTAAATGTTATTTTTAGTGAATACTCGTATTTGAGTAGACGTTTATTTATTAAACAGTATATCTATTTATTTTCGTCTATCGGCCTGAATCTTGAATATTCAGTTCGGTAGACGAAATTAAATAAATATGCTGCTTAATAATTAAACGGAGCGACTACACAAATACGATTATCCATTAAAAATAATATTTAAAATGATAAAAATCTCTTTGATCAATAAATTCAAAAATCCAATCACTTTCCTTGCCTATGCGATGTTCAAAGTGGTCACTCACTGTCTACAATTGGAAAAAGGGAAATGAAGGAATTAAATTAAAACTTTCGGGATCAATTGCCACCTGACCGCAAAATAATGAATTCCGATTATAGCTTTCTATATAGAAAGATGCTCTGCATAAATTAGTTACGAGCCGTCCGTTTGTAATGATGGAGAGTCAAGTTAGAACGAGCGGAGTCAGAAAACTGCGTATCGTGAGGCAAAGACGTCGAGAGGAGCTGTAAGAGAGAGAGAGAGAGAGAGAGAGAGAGAGAGAGTCGGTAGTCATAGTGACTGGAGAGAGACATTTACAGAAAGGGCGATATAGAGTCGGAGGCAGATAGAATTCTTGTTGTCGAAAAAGAAAGTTCTGGTCAGTTTTCTATGTCGTGAGAAAAGTAGCAGGGAATATGTTCCACGTGTCACTTACCTACCCCTCCTACCAAAACTGTATCAGTCTAATCTGTGAATAAGTAAGCCAATATATTGGAAACATGATCCATGTTCGCTTTTGTTTTGTTTTTTCGCCGTGTCAATATTTTCCCCTCCCGTCCCCTTGCGAACATAAATCAAGCTTTTGCCAGTTTTTGTTCACGTCGACGCAAAAAAATCGAAGTGCAACATTGCGTGATTTTTTTTTTTTTTCACGCGGTGAAAGACTACATAAAGGCTCTAGTTGTATGCTTGCACATATAGAGTCACAGTCAAGCGCAAATATGAACATTTTTCTGTGCTTTTCCATAAATACTTTCAAGGCAATCGTTCTGATTAACTTTCCTCTTTGGTTAATTTATCTAGGGAATGTATGCTCAATGGCCTCTTTTATTTCTGTCCCCACATTCTTTAGTTTAATCCCCTCCTCTACTGTTAGGTGACAGAGATGTCAGTTCTCTGGTAGATGCGGGGCGCTTTTCTTTTTTCGAGTGTGTATCTCGCAGTTGTTTTTGTGTCTGGATGAGTGTGTATTTGAGTGAGTGTTTTATCGAATGATTGTTGTTAGTTACCTAGCCCCGCATTAATTTCGTCCAGTTAACTGATTTTTCTGTCACAATTAAGGATTATGGAGAGTTTTATTACTAACATAATCGTTAGTTTCTTGTATAAAAATTGTATTCATTGTAAATATTCATTGGGATTTCATTTTTAAATGTCGTTATTTTTATCCCCACGCCCGCAGACAAATTGCACATATTGGAACTAGTTAAGACTACGTACAGGCTTTGAGGCATTATGGTGGCTGCAAATCAGAGTGCTGAGTAAGAATGTTTTGTTTTGGTCTAAGGAATACTGTGGTATGTTTGGGTCAGTAATCGTGGCTAGCTAAGTTGAAGATAAGACTGATTTTGGCCTTGTGTCACATTTTTGTATTACTCAAAATAAATATTATTTTCCTCTTTGGTGCATCGTTTTCACAAATTTAAGTGCAGCAATAGACTGGCAGTTAGGACTCATTATTTTACAGTTGGAATTACTAAATATAACAGTAAATTCTATTCAAATATTTTCTTCTCTCGCCTGTGCAACTATCTTTTGGTTTCTTACTTTCCTGTTAACTATAATAATGTTAATTGTCATCTTCGAGTTCCTTGAATCATATTCTTTTATTGTTATCTCTTTTCAATCAGGTTTTTTCATTTATTTACAATCTCAGTAATCTATTGTGTCTTTATCGCCTTTATTGGGGGTGAAATGATTAGTATGATGTAATTTTTCACACATAATTGCCATGACATAAATAACATGATCCAATAGAGAAATAAATAAATTTTCACCAATAGCACTGAATTATTTACTGCTGACTTTGATTCGTTTTAATGAAACACCTTTATATATAATCCGTCTTAATGAAACACCCTTTATAACACTGGACGGGGCAACATATGTCTGCCTGTGGACGTCCCACATCATCTAATGAGATCTTCCATTTCTTCTCTACACTTGGAAAAGAACTAAAAGAGAAAAGAAGAATAAATGTCAAGTGACATTTTCGATCCAATGAAGAAAAAAAAGCAAACTAATCATATAACAGGAGGCCGATGCCGGTTTACCAAAGAGCCTAGTCTCTGTGACGAAGAGTTTGGCATCTATTTGGCTTCTCTCCGCTTTCGCCGACTTCAGCGACTAGTTATGAGTGGGAGATCACAGAGGGTGAACTCTACTTGGCATTGAAGAGGGTCGGTAGTGGCAAGTCTCCGGGATTTGATGGTTTGCCCTATGAATTGTAATTGGTGCTGTCGCACATCTTTGTTCCAAGTTTGACTGTCGTGTTCAACAACTGGTTCCTTCGGGTTTTTATCTCCGACCGGATCTCCAGGGATGTAATCACGCTGTTAACAAAATGTGCAAAGGTGGTGGGCGGGAATTAGACGATTGCAGGCCCATATTTCAGCTAAACACAGAGTTAAATATTTTGGCCAAGATGCCGAGGGAGATTTTGCAGTTCGTTGCCGAGATTCTGTTGGGTCCCGGGCAAACGTGTACTGTGAATGGCCGAACAATTCAGAGCAACCTGCATCTGATCCGCACGATCCTAGAGGGAGTAAAAGACGACGAACAAACCGTGCTGATCAATTTGTATCAGAGCTAGGCATTTGATAGCGTCAACCATTGGTACCTGGCTGCTGTCCTACAGGCAGCCGGATTCAAACCCGATTTCTGCAGGTGGACTTGTCTCCTGCATTGCCCCCCCCCCTGCTGTGGTACAGGGGAATGGAAAGCGGTCGTGCGCTTTTGCGTTGTCTTGGTCGGTTCGTCAAGATTGCCCACTGTCACTCCTACTTTACGCTTTGGCATTGGTGCCTCTCCTTCTCAGGTTGAAGGACAAGGCGAACAGTACAGCCCTACATAGAATAGCTGTCCATGGTGGGGCTCGAGTCGGGTTTTCCGCGTACGTATCCATATTCGTGTCGTGCCGCAGCGACATTGAAGTGGTACAGAATGTGCTTGAACGGTACGAAAAGGTCACAGGGGCCAAGAGTTCCTGGCTTGCATTTAGGTGCCTGAAAAGGGGTCGATATTCCGAGGCCCTTTGGTTGGACTGACGAGTCCGTCCGCATTCACGAAGTGTGGTTCGGACATGGGCTCCAGCTGAAGAAAAATTGTCTCAGAAGTACACAAAGGTCTGAGCGGCGGTCGGGACTTGTCTCCGAAGGCAGTTGTCCTTAAAGAGTAGGTCTTAGGCGTGTGCCACTTACGTCTTTCCTCTGTGTAAAGAACATAAGAAGGCGACTGAGATGTTTGCCCAACATCCGTGTTATGAAGGGCTGAGAATGCCTCACTTGGTGACTCACCGATACGCTTCGAGTTTGACTTTCCTACGCCTCGCGTTGACAGAGTACTCAGATGGGAATGTTAGGGACGCCTTTCCTAGCCTTATCATCACTCCTCCCGTTTCTAGGCCTGAGCGCCGTCATAAGCTCCGGAATCAGTCGAGTTTTGTCAAAGAATACCGTGCGACCTTGAGGATCATTCCTCTGTCGAGTGACCTTTCTCAGCCTTGGAGAGTCTTGTATCGAGAATTAATGAAGGGGGTCGCAAAGGATCCGGTCTGCGATCAGTTCGGCTTGTCGGCCATCGAGTTGCGCTCTTTTTGGTCTTGGACGCCAGCGCCATATTATATCAGCAACCCCAAGTTTTCTCTTACCTAAGGATTGGTTCGGAATAAGTTATCTCTCAATGACGTAGCCTTCTTGGCGGATTTGCCTGACTGTCATCGGTGTGAGCTTGGCTTAGAGGAAACGACTTCGCACGGCTTCTACCATTGTGCTCGGGCGCGCACCTTCTGGGACTATGCCGTTGAGTTGACAGCTCGTATCGTTCCCGAAATCTCGTGCTCATTGGTCTCGCATACGTGTGTCACTCCCGTATTCTGGGTGAAACAGATGGTGTTTCTGGCGCTGCTAAGCGTGGCTAGAATGGTGATTTGGATAATCCGAATGGACGAAATCTTGCAATGTGAACGCTATTCTCATCGGGATATGGCCAGATTCTTTGAGCATCAGCTCAGGATGAAAATCATAACGGATAGAATGAGTTTGGTATCGACAGATTTCAGCAAAAAAGTTGGTAACTGCAGCGAGCCTGGTTCTCGTGAATGGGGCTTGCCTTGATTTTCTTTTTTAAAGTCACCTCTAAGTCACAATGGGGCGATTTCCTGTGGAGCCTTCCCTTGGTTAAGATAGACTCTTCTTGTGTACCTAGTTAATGTGAGTAAGTGTCGTTCCCGGCCTGTTTCCGTCTTCCTCTTTTGTTATGATCCATGTCGAGATTCCCAACTTCCCAGTTTGTTTTTTAGCCTCTCTTTTTCATCTCAACTGGGTCAGCTTTTGATTTTTTCCCTCTCAGTTAGCGGGAGAGTCTCTTGATTTTGTCTGAAGACAGAATACAGCGGCCGCCATTATTTTTGAATGAATGGACGGGTACTACTAACATCAGTTATTTTTAATTTGTGTGTTTTATTATATTTTAGTTTGTTTTCGGGTTCGTCCCCCCCCCTTTATTTCATACCATTGATATATTTTTATAATTTTATACACAATTACACATAAAGAAATTTTTATGTCATGGGGTGTAGTGTAGGGTCCCTGTGTGTGTGAGATATTTTGGGTGTATGTAGGCTGAATGGTGATGGATAGATGCTTATGGTGAGTGAGTAAACTGATATATATGAATGGGTGGTGAATCTGATAAGCTAGGTACAGGATAGATAATATTGACCAGCCTTAACCCATTTCCCACTTTTTGGCCTTGTGCCACAATTACTTTATCTGTCAGTAATAAATAACGAAGAAGAGACAGCAATAAATGGGGAAGATAATATTACGTTAAATGAAGACAGCATCAATAATAAGTGCAAACAAGCCAAAGAACGGCTGAATAAGAAATGTGCAGCGATCGAAAAACTGTAGAATGTAGCAATCACAAAAAAGAAACGAAATAGAAAGACAGAAAACAAGTTCTCTAGCAGGATGTATACACCGTAATGTACCATCATGATAGAAAAGGAAAAGTTGAGTGAGTACTTGAGAGAATGTAGGAGACATTTGTTTTATTTTAAAATTAAAATTATTGCGCATCCTGTTCTACATTTAATCTTTTGGTTTTTGTTGACTGAATGAGTAGAATAGCTGAGTCATATATAACGGCATTCGAGAAATGTGACTAGAGAGAAAAAAACTCCAAATAACTAGAAATTTATTAACAATATGCGATTCTATGAACATTCGCCGTAAACATTTTTGCCGTAGGAAAACTTGCCTCAGGAATTTTTGCCGTAGAAAACTTTACATTATAGGATATTTGCTGTAAG